GGATACAGGGATGTTTCAACATCTGGAAATCAATCAACATGATACATCACATTAACAAAATGAAGAATAAAAATCATATGATTATCTCAATAGCTGAAGAGAAAGCATTTGGCAAGATACAGCATACATTTATGATAAAAATTCTGAATAAAATAGGTATAGAAGGAAAGCACCTCAACATAATAAAGGCCATATCTGAGAAACCCACAGCTAACATCATAACTCATGGTGAAAAACTGAAAGCCATCCTTTTAAGAATAAGAACCAGACAAGGATGCCCACTCTCACCACTCTTATTTAACATAGAGTTAAAAGTCCTAGCCAGAGTAATCAGGCAAGAAAAAGAAATAAAAGGGATCCAAATTGGAAAGGAAGAAGTAAAACTGTCATTATTTGCAGATGACTTGATTTTATATACAGTAACCCCTAAACCATTGACCAAAAAATGATTAGAAATAATAAGCAAATACAGTCAAGTTGCAGGCTAGAAAATCAACATACAAAAATCAATTGCATTTCTATACACTAACAACAAAATATCACAAAGAGAAATTAAGACTACAATCCCATTTACAATTGCAGCAAAAAGAATAAAATGCCTGAGTAAATTTAACCAAAGAGGTGAAAGGCCTTTCATTGAAAACTATAAAACACTTTTTTTTTAAAGATTTTATTTATTAATTATTTTTTCCCCCACAAAGCCCCAGTAGATAGTTGTATGTCATAGCTGCACATCCTTCTAGTTGCTGTATGTGGGACGCGGCCTCAGCATGTCCAGAGAAGTGGTGCGTCAGTGCGCGCCCGGGATCCGAACCCGGGCCGCCAGCAGCGGAGCGTGCGCACTTAACTGCTAAGCCACGGGGCCAGCCTATAAAACACTTTTGAAAGCAATCAAAGAAGACACAAAGAAATGGAAAGATATTTACATGGTTAAAATGTCCATACTTCCTAAAGCAATCTACAGATTCAATGCAATCCCTATCAAAGTCCCAATGACATTTCTCATGGAAATAGAACAAAGAATCCCAAAATTTATATGGAACAACAAAAGACCCAGATAGCCAAAGGACTACTGAGAAAAAAAAAAAAAAGCTGGAGTTATCACACTCCCTGATTTCAAAGTATACTATAAAGCTATAGTAATCAAAACAGCATGGTACTGGCACAAAAACAGACACACAGATCAATGGAACAGAACTGAGAGCCCAGAAACAAACCCACACATCTATGGACAGCTAATTTTTGACAAGGGAGCCAAGAACGTACAATGGAGAAAGGAAAGTCTCTTCCAATAAATGATGTTGGGAAAACTGGACAGCCACATACAAAAGAATGAAAGTAGACCATTGTCTTACACCATACACAAAAAATAACTCAAAGTGGATTAAAAACTTGAATGCAAGACCTAAAACTATAAAATTCCTAGAAGAAAACTATAGGCAGTATGCTTTTTGACTTCAGTCTTAGGAGTATCTTGTTGAATACCATGTCTTACCAGGCATGAGAAACAAAAGAAAAAAATAAACAAATGAGAGTACATCAAACTAAAACCCTCTGCACAGCAAAGAAAACCACCAACAAAATGAAAAGATAATTGGGATAAGATATTTGCAAACCATGTATCTGAGAAGGGGTTAATATCAAAAAAAATATAAAGAACTCATATAACTCAATAATAACAAAAAAACCCTATTAAAATGGGCAAAGATGTAAACAGACATTTTTCTAAAGAAGATATACAGATGGCCTACAGGCACGTGAAAAAATGTTCAACATCACTAATTATTAGGGAAGTGCAAATCAAAACTGCAATGAGATACCACCTTACACCCGTCAGAATGGTGTAATTAACAAGACAAGAAATAACAGGTGTTGGAGAGAATGTGGAGAAAAGGGGACCCTCATACACCTGCTGGTGGGAATGTAAACTTCACAACCACTATGGAAAACAGTATGGAGATTCCTCAAAAAATTAAGAATAGAACTACCATATGATCCAGCTATTCCACTTCTGGGTATTTTTCCAAAGAACATAAAAACACTAAGTCAAAAAGATATATGCACCCCTATGTTCATTGCAGCATTATTCACAATAGCCAAGACTTGGAAGCAACCTAAGGGCCCATCAATGGATGAATGGATAAAGAAGATGTGGTATATATACACAATAGAATACTCCTCAGTCATAAAAAGATGAAATCTTGCCATTTGTGACTACATGGGGTAATAGGGCACATATGTATGATGACGGAGGATAATTAGTCTTTGGGTGGTGAACATGATGTAGTCTATACAGAAATCGAAGTATAATGATGTACACCTGAAATTTATATAATGTTATAAACCAATGTTACCTCAATAAAAAATTAACATGAAATGGCTCAAGGACCTAAATATAAAAGCTAAAATTCTAAAGCTTTTAGGGTAAAACATAGAAAACACTCTTTTTGAACCTGTGGTAGGGAAAAATTTCTCATATGCCAAATAAGAATGAGGTTTTAAAGAAAAAAGTGATAAATTGTACTTCATCAAATTTAGAAACTTTTTCTCTTAGTCTCTGTGAAGAAAAATAAAATGGCAAGCTTCAGAGTGGGAGAAAATATTTATAATTCATATATATTTAAATATATATGAATAAATATAAATTAAATGAATAAATAAATATAAATTATATGAATAAATAAATTAAATGAGTAAATATAAAAATATATTCAAAAGCCAATTCAAACACTTTTATTCAAATACATAAAAAGACAGTTAAGAATTCTGGTTTCCAGTCTGATATGTGAGAAGTTTAGAAGTTGCCACTTAGTCCTTACAATAAATAAAAGCTAGACAAATTGAAAAAGCAACAACTCTTCTTAGATACATCATGAGGTCAGAGACCAAAACACTGCCCCTTATACTGGAAAGATTGACAGGTGAATACAGAGAACACAACTTACTGGAGTAGCTGAACCCTTTTGGGAACCAGTGCCTAGGTGGGAAAACCTGAATTGTAGTTGACAAATTGCTGGATCTTAAAAAGGTCTGCCCTTACAAATACAAAGTTGGATTGAAAAAAACAAAACAACTAATAATAACCAAACATTTGATTAAAAGAAACAGTATGAAAAAAAAGCTACCAAAAGAATATTTAAATTTTGAGTACACAAGTCAATATATGAAATAAATAACTTTTAAAAAATATAATACTGCTGCCTATGGTCAAGTTGTTCACTGAAAATACCAATAAAAAATACCAATATCAAAAAAGACAAAAGCAGAAAACTCAAACTTCTCATATTGGCAAACTACCTAAACAAACTTACTATTGAAGACTAGAAAAGCTGATTGAAGGCACTGACTCTTATAACATATAAGTAAGTATGGGGCCAACATCCAAGTTAAATCAAATCTGGATAGATTAGCCTGGCTTCTGGGACCACTTTTTTTAGGGTTGAGGTTTGAGGTTTTGCCATTTCAGAGAGAGGAGCCAGGAGTCTGAATGTTGCTTTTGACAGCTTCACATCAGAGAAGTTCTATATGTGAGTGGATTTTGCTTATACAATTTATTATAAAAGCAAGAATATAAGAAAATGTTTGAAGAGAATGGTAGTTAACAAGGTATCTAATAACTATTTCCTCTAAGGTTTTGAGTCCACAGTAGTATGTTGATATTGTTCAAGTCATATGGAATGTATTGAAACAACACATTTCTTTTACTAACTGGTGAGTGAGATGTTGATCTCTATAATTCTCATATAAAGAATGGGATTACTGAAACTGTGAATTTAAGAAAAGCTTCATACTTTGTAAAGAAATTCTGTGTTGCAGTTTTCTCTGATGGTACCTAATCATACATGATTGAGTAACAGAGCATTTGTTTACAGAATTGTACTCATAAAAAGTGCTGTGATGCTAGAACATGTACATTGAAAAAGGGTAAAGTCTGTGGTTCTGGGGAATGCTGCACAAAAAATTGCAAGGTAAGAGGCAATTTGTATTTTAGAATAGCTCAGCATTAACTTCTTGAAATACTTGTTTCAGGGAGATGGAAAACATGTCATATAGCATATTCAGCCCTTCCCATTATATCATATCAAGCAACATTGGACCCACTCTCACACTTCAGTCCATTCAGTAATTTATCATTTCCACGTCTCGCATGTACATAATGCCTGATGCTTCTCCTCTCCAGACTTGGCTTCCCATTTGTATACCTTGTTACAAATCTTTCTTGTACCCACTGAGATTTCTCTATGATCAACATATATCTGGAGCAAACCCTCATAAGGTCTTATTTTCTAACACTTTATCTCACGTGGGATCAGGAAGTTAGATTAGTTCTTTGTGTTGGCTAAATTCTCTTCACTGTCTTCTGGAAAGTCCTCTGTTCCTTTGCAAGTCATTCAATTATTGTTACAATCACTCAATCCCTCTTTCTTGAAAACATTTAAAGAATTCCTAATAATTGCCCCACACCCAGCACAATTCACTGGAATCTAAGGAAAAAAGAAACTCCTAAACAAAGTAAATGGCAAATATCTGTAAGGTTGGAGGAAGAATCTGCTTTTATATTTAAAAATTTTTTTCACCAGCTTTGTTAAGATATAGTTGACATATAACAATGTGTAAGTTTAAGGTGTACAACATAATGATTTGATCTAAGTATATATTGTGAAATCATTACTATAAATTATGGTTAGTTTATTATTATCAATTATAATAATATTATAATTAAGGTTAGTTTACACATTTACCACTTCACATAGTGAGAGCTTTTAAGACTTACTATCTTAGCAACTTTCAAGTATATAATACATTATTGTTAACTATAGTCAACATGCTGTACATTATATCCCCAGACTTATTCATTTTATAGCAGAAAATTAGTACCCTTGACGAACATCTTCCCATTTCCCCCACCTAGCAGCCCCTGGCAACCACCAATATACTCTCTGTTTTGATGAGTTTGGCTTTTTAGCATTCCACATACAGGTGAGATCATACAGTATTTGTCTTTCTCTTGTCTGACTTATTTCACTTAGCATAATGCCCTCAAAGTTCATCTGTGTTGTCACAAATGGCACGATTTCCTTCTTTTTTATAGCTGAATATTATTCCGTTGCATATATACACTACGTTTTTTTAATACATTCATCCATTGATGGACACTTAGGTTGTTTCCATGTCTTGGCTATTGTGAATAATGCTGCAACGAACATAGGGGTGCACATATTTCTTAAAGATACTGATTTTATATCCTTCAGATATATACCCAGAAAAGAGATTCCTGGATCAATAGTAGTTCTATTTTTAATTTTTCAGGGAACCTCTATTCTCTTTTCTGTGGTGGCTATACCAATTTACATTCCCACTTTTCAGTTCACAAGGATTCCCTTTACATCCTTGCCAGCACTTGATATCTCTTATCTTTTGATAATAACCATTCTAACAGGTGTGAGGTGATATCTTATTGTGGTTTTGATTTGCGTTTCCTGATGGTTAGTGATCTTAAGCACCTTTTTGTGTACCTGTTGACAATTTGAATATCTTCTTTGGAAAAATGTGTATTCAGGTGCTTTGCTAATTTTTAAATTCAGACTTTTCTTTTTGCTATTGAGGTATATGAGTTCTTTATATATTTTGAATATTAACCCCTTATCAGATCTACAGATTGCAAGTATTTTATCCTATTCTGTAGCTTGCCTTTTTATTTTAATTATTTCCTTTGCTGTGCAGAAGCTTTTTAGTTTGATGTAGTTCCGCTTGTTTATTTTTGCTTGTGTTGTTGGTGTTATACCCAAAAAGTCATTGCCAAGATGTGATCAAAGATGTTTTCTTCTAGGAGTTTTGCGATTTCAGGTCTCACATTTAAGTATTTAACCCATTTCAAGTGAACTTATGTGTATGCTGTAATATAAGGGTCCAGTTTCTTTCTTTTGCATGTGAATATTCAGTTTTCCCAACATCATTCAATGAATAGACTATCCTTTCCCCATTGTGTGTTCTTGGCACCGTTGTCAAAGATTAGTTGGCTATATATGTGTGGTTTTATATCTGGGCTCTCAATTCTATTCCTTTGATCTGTCTGTTTTGATGCCAATACCATACCGTTTTGATTACCATAGCTTTGCAGTACAGTTTGAAATCAGGAAGTGTGATGCCCCCAGCTTTGTACTTCTTTCTCAAGATTGCTTTGGCTATTTGGGGTCTTCTGTGGGTCCATATGAATTTTAGTATTGCTTTTTGTTTCTATGAAAAATGTCTTTGGAATTCAGGTAAAGATTACATTGAATCTATAGGTTGCTTTGATAGTATGGATATTTTAACAATATTAATTTTTCTGATCCATGAACACAGGGTATCTTTTCATTTATTTGTGTCTCTTTCAATTTCTTTCATTGTTATAGTTTTTTGTGTACAAGTCTTTCGCCTCCTTGGTTAAATTTATTCCTAAGTATTTTATTGTTTTTGGTACTATTGTAAATGGGGTTTTAAAAATTTATTTTTCATATATTTCATTGTAAATGTATAGAAATGCAAATGATTTTTGTAGTTTGATTTTGTATCCTGCGAATTGATTGAATTTGTTTATCAATTCTAACAGTTTTTTGGTGGCTTCTTTAGGATTTTCTGTATATGAGATCATGTCATCTGCAAACAGATAATTTTACTTCTTCCTTTCTGACTTGAGTGCTTTTTATTTCTTTTTCTTGCCTAATTGCTCTGGCTAGGGCTTCCAGTAATATGTTGAATAGGAGTGGTGAGAGTGCACACCTTCATCTTGTTCCTGATCTTAGAGGAAAACTTTCAAATTTTCACTACTGCCTATGATGTTAGCTAAGGCTTGTCGTATTTGGCCTTTATTATGTTGAGATATATTCTTTCTATACCCAAATTGTTAGGAACTTTTATCATAAAAGGGTGTTGAATTTTATCAAATGTTTTTTTCTGCATTTCTTCAAAGGATTACATGATTTTTACCCTTAATTCTACTAACGGAGTGTATCACATTTATTGATTTCCATATGTTGAAACATCCTTGCCTCTCAGGGATAAATCCCATGTGATCATGGTATATGATCCTTTTAATGTGCTATTGAATTTGGTGTGCTAGTATTTTGTTGAGAATTTTTGTGTCTGTATTTATCAGGGATGTTGGCCTGTAATTTTCTTTTCTTGCAGTGTCCTTTTCTGTCTTTGGTATCAGGGTAATGCTGACCTTGTAAAATGAATTTGGGAGTATTCCCTCCTCTTTAAATTTTTGGAAGAGTTTGAGAAGGATTAGCATTAATTCTTCTTTAAATGTTTCATAGAAGTCACTTTTGAAACCACCTGGTCCTGGGCTTTTCTTTGTTAGAAGATTTGATAACAAATTCAGTCTCTTTAGTTGTGATTGGTCTGTTCACATTTTCCATTTCTTTGTGATTCAGTCTTGCTATGTTGTCTGTTTCTAGGAATTTATTCATTTCTTCTAGGTTATGCAATTTGTTGGCATATAATTGTTCATAGTAGCCTCTTATGATCCTTTGTATTTCTGTGGTATCAGTTTTAGTGTCCCCTCTTTCATTCATAATTTTGTTTTATTGAGACCTGTCTCTTTTGTTCTTGGTTAGTCTAGGTAAAGGTTTGCCATTTTGTTTATCTTTTCAAAGAACCAACTCTCAGTTTGATTAATTTTTTTCTATAGTCCCTTGTCTCTATTTCATTTATTTCCACTCTGATCTTTGTTATTTCCTTCCTTCTACTGACTCTGCTAGCTTAGTTTGTTCTTCCTTTTCTGATTCCTTTAGGTGTAAAGTCAGTTTGTTTACTTCAGATCTTTCTTTTTCTAATATAGTCACTTATTGCTATAAACCTACCACTTAGAACTCCTTTTGCTGCATCTAATATATTTTATGTTGTTTTTTTGTTTTTATTTATATCAAGATACTTTCTGATTTCCCTTTTATTTCTTCTTTGATTCATTGGTTGTTCAAGAGTGTGATGTTTAATTTATACATTTTGTGAATTTTCCAGTATTCCCTCTGTTATTGGTTTTAGGTTCATACCAATGTGATTGGAAAAGATACTAGATATTATTTCAATCTTCTTAAATTTCTTAAAAGTTGCCTTGTGGAACAACATATGTTCTCTCCTGGAGAATGTTTCATGTGTGCTTGAGAAGAATGTGTATTTTGTACCAATTGGATGTAGCATTCTATATATGTCTTCAGGGGCATTTGGTCTACAGTGTTATTCAGGTCCACTGTTTCGTTATTGATTTCCTTTCTGGTTGATCTATACAGTGTTGAAAATAGGATATTGAAGTCCCCAACTATTGTGCTGCTGTCTACTTCTCTCTTCATTCTGTTAATGTTTGCTTTAAGTTTTTAGGTGTTCCAATATTTGGTGCATATATAGTTACAAGTGTTATATTCTCTTGATAAATTGAACCCTTTGTCATTGTATAATGACCTTCTTTGTCTTTTGTGACAGATTTGACTGAAAGTCTATTTTATTTGATATAAGTATAGCAAACCCTGCTCTCTTTTGGTTACCATTTGCATAGAATATTTTTTCTTCCTTTCATTTTCAGCCTATGAATGTCCTTATAGCTAAATTGAATTTCTTATAGCAAGCACATTGTTGGATCTTGTTTTTTTATCCATTTTCCACTCTGTGTTTTTGGAGAGTTTAACCCATTTACATTTAAACTAATTACTGATAGGTAAGGACTTTCTGTTGCCATTTTGTTAATTGTTTTCTGGGTTTTTTTTTAAGTTCTTTTTTCCATTTCTTCCTCTCTTGCTGTCTTCCTTTGTGATTTATTTTTTGTGGTGGTATACTTTTTTTCTCTTTATCTTTTGTGAATCTACTATAGGTTTCTTTTTTGTGATTACCATGATGCTTACATAAAACATTTTATAGATATAAAAAGATATAGATATAGTAGATAGTCTACTTTAAGCTGATAACTTACAAAAGCTCTATATTTTTGATT